CTGGAACCGCTCTCATACAATAATACTGTGTGTGTGTGTGTGTGTGTGTGTGTGTGTGTGTGTGGAGACACTGTGATGGATCGTTGGAGCTATGTGCAGCTCAAGGCATATATGCTCGAATGGGAGCTGCCTGGACGCTGCAATCATGTTGCGCGTACTATCCGTGCTGAGTGTGCTGACTTTTCGTACAATGTCCCACTGTCAGGCTACCTGCATAAAGTCAAGTGCTCGGCGCAGTTGTCGGCGAAATGTCATTGAAACAGCTCCTTATATCCGTTAGCGCAGCTAGCTAGCACCAGATGCTAACAACAACACGTAAGGTGTGCCTCGCTCGCGCGAGTCGCGCCACACATACACACTCCCTCCCGGTCCTCCCGATGGCCAGTCCGGGCCTGCCAGTGAGCGTGGAAGTGGGCACAAGCGGGCGGCAGGAGCGGGGCTGTCAGCATCAGCTTGTCGATGGTATTTTACACTCGATGCGCTCTGAAACTACGGCGGCCGAGGACAAAAAATACACATGCGTTAATCGCGTTAAAATAATTAGTGGCGTTAATTTTTTTTTTGCATTAACGCGTTATTAACGCGTTAACTTGACAGCCCTAATATATATATATATATATATATATATATATATATACATATATATATATATATATATATATATATATATATATATATATATATATATATATATATATATATATATATATATATATATATATATATATATATATATTTTAAAAAGGGACCCGTAAGGCTTAATCAATGTTATATATAGATCTTTATATAATATCAATATTATAATAAACTTCAACCAAAGTCAATTTCAGGAGTGGTGTTTGACATAGTTTACGTTCAATTTCAACTATTCAACCTTTTTAAATAATTTACTTTAATTTAGAAAAGGTTTTTCTGAGAAAAATGTACTAACAAATTGAAAAATACAAGTTTAATAGGACAATGTGGATTTATTTTCTCTCACCTTGTAATTACACAATCAAATAATCTATAATACGGCTTTGGACTTCACTCACCAAACATATTTTTTTTTATGTTTTGCATTTGTACTATTTTGTAGTCAATTTGGACAAATATCTTTCGAACTAAAAATATCCTATGATTGCATATGGTGTGAATATGTATACCCTGCTCACGCCGTATTATTTTAGGTACAATTTATATTTTAAATGTAATGAAAAAGCCAACTCAATAGTGTGTTAAAAATAGACTTTAGGATATTGTAAAACAAAAAACTGCTATATAATGTATTCTTAACCCTCCTTTATCTTCACATTTGCTTTACACCCTCTATCCTTGGTGGTCATGTTGACCCCAGGAGTTTAAAGCTCAAGAAAATGATCATATTCAAAATTGTTACCAAAATGTTTCAATTACTTTATGTTTCTTAGTTGACTATCTAAATATCCATTTAAATAAAACACTACACAGTACATTTCTCCGAGTAAAATTGAAGAAAATGTTACTCTAAAAATATTACATTTGGTCCCAACCTATATAGAGTAAAATGTACTCTTTGTTCAGAGTTGTATTTTTAGAGTTCATTTTACTCTATTATGTGCTTAGATTTGACTCTGCTTAATGGTTATTTACTCTATGTAGTGTATATTAAAAACAACTCTACTGCCATTTTACTCATAATAGAAGGTAATTTTACTCCCAATCGAACGTCATTTCACTCCAACTAGAAGGTAATTTTACTCCTAATAGAAGGTAATTTTACTCAGAATAGAATAAATGAACCATAATGATCTTTACAATAAAAAAGGTCAATAAACCAAAGTGCTTAAGGAACATGAGTGGGCGTGTGTGAAGCTGACCATTGAGCGGCCCGACCAAGCAAGGAGGCAGAGGCAGAGAGTTCAAATACAACCCGGTGTGGGCATTTATTCCTCTTTGTGGTACATACACACAGTGGCGACTGGTCATTAGGGGCACAGCCCCACCTAGTGTCAGCAGAAAGTATTACAAATAATGATTACAAAAAATTAGGGCTGTCAGTCGATTAAAATATTTAATCGCATGATTGTCCATAGTTAATCGCGATTAATCGCAAATTAATCGCACATTTTTTATCTGTTCTAAATGTACCTTAGAGGGATATTTTTCAAGTTTTTAATACTCTTATCAACATATGAGTGGACAAATATGCTTTATATGTTTGTTTATTATCATTTGAACAATGACAAATATTTTCATGAATATTAAACACAACAACCTCTGAACATTACAAATATTCGCCTCAATTCAACCTGGAACCTCTCTCATACAATAATACTGTGTGTGTGTGTGTGTGTGTGTGTGTGTGTGTGTGTGTGAGAGAATGTGGAGACACTGTGATGGATCGTTGGAGCTATGTGCCGCTCAAGGCATATATGCTCGAACGTGTGCTGCCTGGACGCTGCAATCATGTAGCGCGTACTATCCGTGCTGAGTGCGCTGACTTTTCGTACAATGTCCCACTGTCTGGCTACCTGCATAAAGTCAAGTGCTCGGCGCAGTTGTCGGCGAAATGTCATTGAAACAGCTCCTTATATCCGTTAGCGCAGCTAGCTAGCACCAGATGCTAACAACACGTAAGGTGTGCCTCGCTCGCGCGAGTCGCGCCACACATACACACTCCCTCCCGGTCCTCCCGATGGCCAGTCCGGGCCTGCCGGTGAGCGTGGAAGTGTGGTCTGCCACAAGCGGGCGGCAGGAGCTGGGCTGTCAGCATCATCATGTAGATGGTATTTTAAACTCGATGCGCTCTGAAACTACGGGGCGGCCGAGGACAAAAAATACACATGCGTTAATCGCGTTAAAATAATTAGTGGCGTTCATTTTTTTTTTTGCGTTAACGCGTTATTAACGCGTTAACTTGACAGCCCTACAAAAAATGCAAAAAATAAATTAAAAAATATATAAAATATATTTTAAGATCATGTTTAATCATCTGATTCGTCTGTACATTGCTGTTTTAGTCTGTGTTCTTCTAATTAGTGTCTACAGTGTGTGCCTATTGAGCTTTATATATACAGTCTATGCTATTGAGCTGTTTAGAGCCATGTGGGACAAAACCTGATCATGCCCCCTCCTTCTCACTGTGAGTGAACGGTGACTGTAAAAAACTACACTGCGCATGCTCAGAGTATTTTCCTATTTAATGTGTGTGGCAAAAAAATAATGACCATAGGGGCACTGAGCTGCCATCCCCACCATACGTCATCTCACATAATTCAGAGCTGATTGGCTGTAAGTACGTGTGCCGCGAAAAGTGTGGTGGGTGAAGAGGAGACGAGAGAGCTGCAGTGACGCGTCCTAAAACCCGGAAGTAAGCTGCGCATGGCTTCCCTCGACAAAAAAGCAATGAGATTTCTCCATAGGATTTTAGAAAATAGCTCGAAATAAGATCTGTGGGAAACGTACCTGTTAGATAAATGCACGTTTTGTTCAGCCGGATAATATCCACATGTCTACCCTACTTTTATAATTTTTTAATCATAAATCTATCGATTAGATTTATGATAGACTTTTGAAACTACAGAAGATAAGGAGGACTTTTACAAAAAAGTAATAGAAATGTTTGTCCAGAAGGATAGGCAAATGGATTTCATCTTCAAGTCAAGGTAAGACCGCAATTTTATTGAAAATGGGATCTTACTAAGAGAGAACAATTCAATATTTAAATGATAAAATTACATTTTTTGGGTATCCTTTTGTTGAACTGTCTGTTTAAAATTAATCGAAGCATCAGACAAAAAAAGCTTTTGAAAATAATATTATATTTTGGTTTAGGTCAAAATATAATATTTGTAAACCTGAAGAGTCAGTGCCAGTGCCTCACCAGCCATGAACCTCACTGCAGAAGCTTATATATAGACATCTGAGTTTTTTTTGTGACCCACCACTTTTGTACATATAAAAACACCACTGCATACACAGCCTCAATATGAGTGTCTTACGTACACGTACACACACACACACACACACACACACACACACACACACACACACACACACACACACACACACACACACACACACACACACACACACACACACACACACACACACACACACACACACACACACACACACACACACACACACACACACACACACACACACACACACACACACACACACACACACACACACACACACACACACACACACACACACACACACACACACACACACACACACACACACACACACACACACACACACACACACACACACACACACACACACACACACACACACACACACACACACCACACACACACACACACACACACACACACACACACACACACACACACACACACACACACACACACACACACACACACACACACACACACACACACACACACACACACACACACACACGACAAACAGAACCTAAATACACACAGGACTAATCAAACCAACAAGACACAGGTGAGGAGGGAGGAGAAACACAGGGCACCAGGTGAACGCAATCACCAGCAACAGACAAGACGGGAGGGGGAACACTTTTCAAACTAAAACAGGAAACAGAGACAGACAAACTAAAACATAGACAGATCGTGACTAATATATGCATAAATTACATATAATCACATGCTTCCTGTGCAATGTTTTAGCGTGGAACAAATGCATATACTTCCCCAATAATGAAGCTATATAATCCGTAACGGAGACCGAGATCAATGGCCCCAGAGATCACCTCCGTTACAAAGGGGTCATGGTTTAACTCCAATAGAATTGACTCTGCATTTTTGATCGCACTCTAGAAGCTATGAGTAATAAATACACTCCAAAATGGTTAAATATCACTATTTCAGAGCAAAATAGTAATTACTCTGGAAAAAATACTCACCAATATGTCCTGTGTACTAGCCATTTTCATTACATTCAAAGCACTTTGAATTGCCTTGTGTTGAAAGGTGCTATATAAATAAACTTGCCTTGCCTTGCCTTGCCTTGCCTTACATTAGCAGCACTAAACTTACCCTATTTTTCACGTGGGGAGCGGGACCAAGATAACTTTCCATTTTTGGAAAGTAATGTTTCTGCTTGTGTTTGACAGACAACAGGAGCATCTGCATGGGGTATTCAGGGTGGACAATTTGACAGAGGATTTCTCTGAAAGTACAAAATAAAAGTATTTTATCTTTGCGCTAGTAGTCTAACTACTGAGTCCAAAATGATCAGTCTTCGAACTTAAAAGTATTTGTATTGCTTGTCACATATAGCAGCAAAACAGGCATTGTTGTACCATGGAGGGGACTTTGACAGGAGAGTATCAAGAAGTACACAGTAAAAGTATTTCATAGTATTTGGGATAGTTGTAACTACAACTGATTCCAACTTCATCAGTCTTATGAAAAACGTATGGCCAAAAATAATGTTATCGCTCATCAAAGATAGCTGAAGCTTGTCATTTTTGCACTGTGTAAAGGCAAAGAGAACCTTTATTTTGAAGAGTACAGCGCAAGCATAGGGCAAACTAGCCAATCAGAAGCAAGGAGGCACTGGAGACCCACCCACCTATGGAAACGAGCTGAATTGCCGTTTTTCCGTTTTGGGACATTGAAAAACAAAAAAACGACCCGTTTCTGTTTTTGTTGTTGTTTCAATTAGAACTAAAAAACAAACGGTTAAAACGTACCTTCGTCGACTGGTTATATATTTCTAGTGTGAACCAAAATATAATACAAGTGATTTTTCTTAACCAAAATGACAAAAATGGCACAAAAACACATATTATTCTAATACGGGTCCTTTTTGACCCACTTATGGAAGAGTGTTAAACAAACAGACCATTCAGCACGATAATTTGCATGAAACCATGTAAATTATTGCGTGAAAGTTGAAACCATGTAAATGATTCCACTATTCTCTGGAAGAGATTAGTTAATAAAGACACAAACAGTAGGCCTGTTGGGTCCGTGTACGTTTTGTTAGTTTGATTTTTCGTTTAAACCAAAAGGCAAACGAAAAAACGAAAATACCAGCCTTTTTTCGTTTTTTCGTTTTAAATTTAAAACCAAAAAAACGAAAAAAGGCTGGTATTTTCGTTTTTTGCCTTTTGGTTTAAACGACCAATCAAACGAACAAAACGTACACGGACCAATAGTTGCCAGTGTAAATAAAAACATAGCCTATAGGCTACCATCCAACAATTAGACAAAAACCTTCATAAATTCTTGTCAATGTTCGAAAATATCACTCATAGTATGGAAACACCTTTAAACTGAATTCAGACAATATTTTAAAGATAAGAAAGATATTGTTCACCGGACCAATTGTGCACACAGGATATTGGATAACATAATTACATTGACATACAATGGTAACTTACCCGAGAATCACCGGCATTCATCCATAATTCGTCAAACACTAGCTTTCCCAGGTAAATACCCCACCCTTGATGTTGTCTTAAGACACGATTCGTCTCCCTGCGGTTTAGCTTTTTGTTTTGGGTCAAAATGCAGAGGGGGGGGGCTTCTTGTTCAAAGGTCTTCTCTGACGTTAACATGTAAACTACCTGCCCCTCTGTTTTTCAGGTGTGTTTTCTACCAACGGATACCGCTCCTATATGCTTCTCATCGAGACTGAGTGGCGTAGCCACCATAGGGCCAGGCCCGCCCAGTTTACTCATTGGCCCGCTCTGAGAAAGCTAATTTGGCATAAATGTATATACAAATTTGGCAGCTACAAAAACATATTTTCATATCTCTTCCTGCACTAGCAGAAAGCAGAAGCTCTTAGATTCAGTGCATCAAAGAAGGAACTGATTGGAACGGTTATAAACAGTCTGTCTTGAATAATTAGCCTAATAGAATAATTAAGACATGTTTATCACTCTCTAGTCTCTGCTCTAAGATACTTTTATACAATGTTCATTGTTATTCTATAATGTCACATTGAGACATACAGTGGGAGTTGTTGAAGGCTTTTTATTTACCTTCGGCACATTGAATAGACCTTATAATTTCTTGTCAGGAATATAGATTTGAGATGGTATGACGCTGACAAACCAAGGACTCTACACAGGAAACCACAAATCCTGTTTTGTCTAACAAAAGAAAACACAATTACCATATAGTCACGCGTGACAAACTTAATTTAGGTGCCACCATAGAGCCCAGGCCCACCCAGTTTACTCATTGGCCCGCTCAGCTTCGGTGTACTTTTTTTATTATTATACATTTTTTTTATTCACCCATTGAGAATATCCAAGCATTCAAAGTGAAATTTAAGTGAACAAATATCGAGTAGAATTAATGTTGTATGTGTTTTATCCTCTGAACGGAACCCATTTCCGGTAAAAACTGGTTATTGATTCCGGCGCGCGCCCAATTAGTAACGTGAGAGAGCTGCCTGAAAATGACGCATCGAGCAGCGATCCAGGGCCAGGCTCTCCGACTCCGGAGACTATACCGTTACGGCTTGCTCCACGGCGCTAGCAGTGCTCCCTCCCGTCAGCATGAAGCAGGTGCAGGCCTACCCGCTGATCTGTCTGCACTTGATGAACCGCCTTCACAGCCAAAACTGAAGAAGTTCCCCTACACTGTTAATCATGGAAAAGCAAGGTGCTTCTCATCGAGGTGGTATGAAGATTTTCCCTGGGTGGAATACAGCGCAAGTAGGGACGCGCTTTTCTGTAAAATGTGCAGACATTTCCCCCAGCCCAGGAGCCAGAGCCGAAAAAAAATAATCTCAGTATACCGTCGCCGTGATAAGTATGTTTAATTAATTTTGTTAATATGCCTAGATTGCCTACTCTCAAAGTCATGTATTATATTATTGAGTCAATAATATAATACATTAACCGTGCTTTACCTGAACCTCATCATGACACTAGAGAGGACGGCAGGATTGTAATTTCCCGTGTTCAGTGAATGCAACAGAGCAGACCCGGCTCCAGGATGAAATGACTGAGGGGGCTGTTAAAAAATCCGAGGGGGCGATTTTTTTTTCACAACAACGAAAAATACTGGCAATGTAATGAATTGACACACCAAGCTTTTTTCCTTCTCACTGCTCTACAATCTCTTTGCTTCTTTATTTGTATTCCGGATTTACCCCTCTCATTCGGTTATTTTCCTCTGATCTTTAACGATAGTACATTATTAGATGGCTGCAATTTGGTTAACAGACTAACATTGATTTCCTCAATGTATAAATTGACAGGCTCTGTAATATACCATAACCTTTTCTCCTCTATCCCTTAACTCGTCTTCCTATACAGATTTACTTACTTACTTACTATCTACTCTATATCAGGATTAAAGAAAAATTAATCTGGTTGATTTTTTATTTCCAGGATTGAATGTTCAAACCAAGGCCTAAAACCTGGCATTTCATAACAAAGTGACTAATATATAAACCAAATGTAATATTGGATAAAATACTACACCAAATGGACAGACACAGATTAAACATACAGTCCCCTGGTTTGTCTCTAGAGTATGAGAAAAATCAAATCAATGTTCCAAAATCCGTCACTGTCGCTCATTGTACCAATATGGTTTATATAATACATAATAGGGATGCCAGAAACTGACCATGATCAAATTTGAAAATCGGACAGCCCTGGCGAATATTAATCGATTATTGGTGGTGTGACCAATGGCCATTTACAATTATTAATACTATTACTATTATTAGCATTAGTCTATATTTTGGTTGAAACTAAGCCAGGAAAAAAAAGAAAAACATAAATAATAATAAAAAAAATATATAAATAAAATCGAATTTTAAAAATAATTTTCGATTATGGAGACTGTAACGAATATTCGAAAAATCGAATAATCGCTGGCATCCCTAATACATAACATATTATTATTATAGTAAAAGGGCTCGCTTTGGCAAAATCCTGATCCATACAGGCAGCCCTAAATAATAAGTAACCATCATGTGTGGTGCTATCTGTAGATGTCTGTCTTGTTTTTTGTCGATTTTATATTGTTTTCACAGAGCTGTGAAAATGAATTTCCCCCTGGGGACAATCAATCTAATCTAAACTCATTTAATATTCAATCCCGTACTTGGCGATTGAGAACATACATTTGTAATTTACCTCGTTTAAAGCACTTTTGTTCTAATACTATGGATTTGGTTTACACTACTAGCCGAGTTTCTTTTGTCCAATATTTTGCGGGGAGGTACATTGAATTAGAAGTAGAACAAGAAGAAGAAGTAGTAGAGGTAGAAGAAGAAGAAGTAGAGGTAGAAGAAGAAGAAGTAGAGGTAGAAGAAGTAGAGGTTGAAGAAGAAGAAGTAGAGGTAGAAGAAGAAGAAGAAGTAGGTTGCGGTCGAATAGTCCAAAAATCAGCTCCTAAGTTCTAACCCTATCGTCTATTCCTTGACCTCTGAGTGAAACGTCATGGGGTTAAGGGATAGTGGATAGGAGAATTCAAAAGGATTTAGGAGAAGAGACTGCGGTACTTTAGAGCATCCGACTGCACTTTCACTATCCGACGTGTTTATGATGCGCCAGCGGAGGTCATAAATGTGCGTCTGCTGCTGTGGGGAAACTATGGAAACTACAGTTTTCTATACAGCGGACTACAACATGGATGTTTAATAAGAACGAGGGACTACTGTAAACTCATCTAGAGGCTCTGCACCATGCTCTGATGCTGTTGTTTTATGCTTTATGAACGTGGACAACAGAGAAACATATTCTTCATGACCAAAGTTGGAATTGAAATAAAAAAGGAAAGTGAAACTTATGCTCGTCACCCTCTCCCTCCGGTCCACATTAATACAAATGATCCCAATACGTATGATTGTATGAAAATATCTTAAAATCAATACAAATGTATTTATTATAAACGTTAGTCCTTAACATCTATCACTGTGTATATCACCATTCAAACATCTTTTAAAAGTTGAACAAACCCCACACAGCTCAGTAAAGACTGTGAAATGTTGACTTTATTTGATCATTTCAGTAAAAACTAACGTTCATATTTCTCTTTTTGATTATAATACTGATGAACGTTCAAAACAAAGCACTTTGGCAACTTACCATATACGTTTTAAAATGCTTAATAAGCACCGTAACTTTCATGATATCATTTCTCGTTCATAATCGGTTGTTTCCGTGAACGGCCGACTGTTGTGTGACGGCAAGGCAAATGCCGCGGCCGCAAGGCATTGTGGGGCAGCATTTTCTCCTCTCCTTTAGGTTAGGGAGGTCCAGTGGTTCCTAAGCTAAAGGAGGTTATAAAGGAAGTTTGAAACCTCCTTTCCTTTCATTTAGAGAATTCGAACGGCACTTATCATGGCTGCCACTGAGGGACTTCCGGATCATTTCACTCCGTTAGGAAGGTTCCTAAGCTAAATGGACTATTCGACCGCAACCGTAGAGGTAGAAGAAGAAGAAGTAGAGGTTGAAGAAGAAGTAGAGGTTGAAGCAGAAGAAGTAGAGGTAGAAGAAGAAGAAGTAGTAGAAGAAGAAATACGCTAACGCTACAAACAGGCACAACACTGTGACTCTGTTTTTACTGACATGTAACATTTTATTTCACCTTGCTCTATGTTTTTTAACGCACATTCAAAAACTGGAACATTTTCGGGAGTTTCAACCGGGTACCGGCCACCGAAAAAGGGGACTTTGCCCGGAAAACGGGGACGTTTTGGTCACCCATCCGACTGTGTTTACAGCTAAGCACACACGCTAACATTAATTAAGACTACAAGCTCACTTGGGGTTGAGGCTTTTTTACACGTTGCTTGACTGCCTGCCTACTAGGGATGTGCATCTCCATCACTGAGGCCGATACGATGCGCATCTCGATACGCTACCAACGATACGATACATTAACGATACCTTTGAAACACCAGGCGATGCGATACGATACGATTCACCCCTGTTGCGATACAGTTCGATACGATTTGATTCAACATTATGCGATACGGGGCGATACGATGTGATTCAACACAATGCAAAATAATGATACAATTCAATATGGTACGACAGAGGATTTTGTTTATTCCTTATATGCAGCAAATCATACATTAACAAAAAAGTGCTTCACATATTTGCTTCTCTCTACTAGTACTGCACATCCCATCATGCTGTTTCTTTTTTACCTTAAAAAAAACAAACACTTGGACCTTTCACAAGTGTAGTAGTGTTCTCTGTCTCCAGAGTACAGTTCAATTTTACAATTTAAGGATGCCCAAGATTAACAATGTGCAAATAACAACTACCATAGTTAGGGATGTCCCGATCACCTTTTTTTGCTCCCGATCCGATTCCGATCATTTGATTTTGACAATCTGCCGATACCGATTTTTCCCGATCCAATCTTTATGCAATGCATTAAGAGAAAAAAAAGGTAACAGATAACGGCTGGTCATCCAACGCGATGAATTCAGCTATCTTGGCTGTTATTTTTTTGGCCTGTTCTGGGGCAGTTTCTCTTTCCTTTTAAAAGTCTCTGAAAGTGTCGGTTGTTTCAGTGCCGTTACCTGAGTGGCCGCTGTGTACTCGTCGTGTTGTTGTTGGTGTTTGTATTAGATTGGTCGTGTTGAA